GGACATTACACGATCGAAGCCTGCCCCATCTCGCAATACGATGCGCATCTCCGAGCCATCCTTGACCTACCTATCTCCCAGTCTAGCCTCCGCCTCCGCGAGCCCTCCATCATGCTGAACATCCTTGGCGGCAAGACGCCAGACTCCCACGTTCAAGTCGCGAAGAGGGCTCTTGAGTCACCAAACGCATCAATTCACCTCTACGGTAAAGGCGATGCACGCCCCGGCCGCAAAATGGGCCACATCACCATCACAGCCCCTACACTCGCAGCCGCTGAACGCGAGATCCAGCCCCTCGTCGACTTCGTGGACGCTCAAAAAGGCAAGACTGTCGAGTCACGAAGCGTAGAAAGCTCCAAAGAAGAGCCTCTCGTCGCCGTGATCATGGGCTCAGACTCCGATCTCCCCGTCCTCCGCGCCGGCCTTGAGATCCTGACTAAGCTGCAAATCCCTTTCACCACGCGCATCACTAGCGCCCACCGAACCCCCGACTGGCTCCGCGAGTTCTCCAAAACCGCTTCTCAGACGTCTCTTAGGGTCATCATCGGCGCTGCGGGTGGCGCTGCCCATCTACCCGGTATGTGTGCGTCGTGGACCACACTTCCCGTTATCGGTCTCCCTGTAAAGGCGAGTGTAATGGATGGCTGGGACAGTCTTGTTAGCATGACTCAGATGCCGCGTGGCGAACCTGTTGCGACGGTTGGTATCAATAACTCGACGAATGCTGCGCTGCTTGCTGTGCGTATTCTTGGTGCGGAGGATAAGACGATCCGCGAGAGGTTGAGGGTTTGGATGGAAGGGAATGAGAAGGAGGTTATGCGCAAGGATAAGGCGCTTTTGGAGGATGGGTGGGAGGCTTATCTTAAGGGTATGGGAAAATAGATGGTGTTAGGAAGGTGGTGGGCTGAGGGGTTGAGGGAGCCTGTGCTATGCTTGTGAACACTGGCTGATGGGATATGCACGGAGTAGAATACCTCTTTCTGGTCGAGGAAATTTCATTTCCCTCTATCGATGTCTTGAATGCAATGGAAATGCGATGCTAAGGAATTTTTTTGATATCGACACTCACTGTTGTGATGATGATGATCATCATCATCATCACTGTTCACCCCAGCCTCAACAGCAGCCTCTTCTCCGCACAACACATGAGAGCAACCCTGACTCGTTTTGGTACCATGCGCTCCCCGCTGGCTCTGTCGTAAGAACATGACCAGTTCCAACATGCTCTCCTCACACGAAGACATTTCCTCATACGCTGTGCCATTTGAACACATCAGAAACATCTGCATGTCTTTTAGAACACACCGCGAGCCCACATTCATGGGCAGTGGAGGCGCCGTTTTTGTAGAATGACTCTGGAATATGTGGATAAGAGAAGAAAGAAGAGTAGCAAGCGCAGATTTTATAGCTGAGGCGAGGGGAGTGACAACACATCGATTTGCGGATCCATTCTTTTGGACAGCTTCTCTTCCTCTCCACATGACGGTTCTGGCTTTTCTATTTTGAGAGTAACTATCGAAAGAGCAGATGCGAAGGGGGAACGACATGCCATGTGGAGGAACCACTTTCAGAGTACAAAGCTTCGGTATCTTACCTGGTCAGACATGATCTGTCCGCTGGGCGTTTTTGGAAGTAGGATAGAACACATGAACATCCTGGAGGTACTCAAGGTGCGAAAGGACGGGGAGACGAGAAGACCCATGGGGCGTTTGAATCCATGTTTTGGAAAAGGGAGTGAGAACTGTGGTGTGTTGAAAGAAGAAGGCAGAGAGGCAGCTTTATATGCGCCCTGAGTCGTCCGGAGGGCGCACTCATCGCGTGGTCTCCGTCATATTTTGAACAAGGAAGCACAGTCTTTCCATGTCCTGCTGCTTCAGCACTTTTTGAATGCCGCCGTATATTTTTAAAATCGGTACATGAGGTTTCTAATTCCGTGGCTAGAGAAGCGGGGAGACAACAGGCGCATATGCTGCTAGTCGATGCTTTTGAAAAAGGGAAGACGCGGACATAGAACATCCGTAATGTCGTTTTGAAGAATCGTTTACAAGTTTGATATGATAGAAGGGAGGCAGAGGTTGCAGACTACAGATATTTATATACGTCTCTTTCTATGCGGACGTAGACATGTCGTACTTTAGTAGGCTTTTCATGTCGCGATTTTTGCTCCCATTCGGCAACATCTCCATCATCAGTCATCGTCGCTTCTTTGGATGTTTTATAGCCGCGAGTTTGGGGCGAAACGCGGCATGTTTTGTATCGAGTAAACTCTTCTTTTCGAGAGGCTTAGAAGGAGGGATTCGCATGAACCGATGAGCAGTACGATTTTTATGACACAATTACATGTAATGATATTTTGGCCGTTTTGGAGATAGGAGGAGAAGGAAGAGAGGAAACTCGCATAACTCGTTGACAACGTCATTTTGGAAAAATGCTGGAGGAAGGTGCTGAGTAAGAAGTAAGATAAGGTGGAGAAGTGGCAGTTTATATACCTCCATTGAAAGCACTGCACAGACGTCTGTGGAGAGCGAGTCTCGCTTTTATACCCCTCATCGATTTTTGACGTTGGGTTTTCAAAGACTTTCTGGTGAGACTGATGATGTGCGATGTGCGAGCTTTAAAAACGTCAATTCCAAGTGTTGAACCTTCGAGGACTCAAAGGTCAGTGTAGATAGTCCGATCTTCCAGACAGCTCTTCATGGCGCTTACCCTCCTCTTAACAGCCATACTATATCGAGATCATAGCTTCCTCTATACTCGCAAATGGTTCGTTCCATCCGGAGTCGCCAGTCCAGTTCTCTCACCCGTTGCTCCGCTATTCCGCGCACATATGTCCGCACGATCTCGAGTCGCTTTAAGCCAAGGAGCCCACTGAACCAAGTCCCTTTGCCGCCTGAAAGGGCACTTAACAAAGCATCCATCTCATAATCGCGTAGTTGAATTGTTCGAACTGCAAGCATTTGTGCGGATGTGCGAAACATATACGCTTCGGGATTCAGCATTGAGCCCTTTAATACAAAGGTGTTGAGTTGGTACACTAAGGTAGCTGTCTCGTTGTAGATCTGGCGGCAGGTCTCGGGGAGGTGTAGCGCTGATTTGAGTGGCATGTAGCTTGTTCGTTCCTTGGGGTCCGCGTAGGTGTATGCCCATCCATGTGATCCAGGAAATTCGGGCGAGGAGTTGGCGCGCAAGTGCAGGGCGATGTAGGGATTGCTTAACGTGTACTGTGGAGATAGAGAGGCGATGTCAGAGAATATCACAAACAGATTGTGTGTGTCCAGGTCTTACCTCCCATATCTGGTTCCGGAGTTCGCCGGGGAGTTGTAAAAGGCGAGAGGTTGTCGCATTGCGAGCCGCACTATTTGCGTCAGTAATGTGGCAAAGCTTAGACGGGAGAGATACCGACATTGCGGTGATGTGTTCAGACATGTGAGATACGTCCAAGAGCCCATTTGGTAAGATCACTGCCACGTTGCTGTTGTTTTGCTGCTGCGACATTGACGCAGAATTATCGGGTTCTGGAGTATGTTTCATGTTGAAGCGTTGGAGCGCGATAGAGGTTGATTGCAGTTATGTCGATAGAGCTATGTGATAGAGTGGATAAGCTGAGCGGTACACAAAACTTGATTTGGTAGAAGGGCGCTTATTTCGCCTGCCTGTCTTGTCTGTGCGCTATCGGTGCTTGGGGTGACTGTTTCTCTTTCATTGAAATGCTCCAGTAGTGACTCTTGCTCGATCCTGTATTCATTACATTGTAGCTACCATGTGCCCATGACAGAGCCTCTTCTTCCAGGCCCTGTGAAATTGTGGCCTTCGGAGCCTCATGTGACGTTAAGAATTGACGTAGCGAGCTCGAGTACCGAAGCTCATAAGCATAGCTATCATTTGCAGCTATCGCAAGCGCCAGCTGCTCCATGGATCATTTCCAACTGAAAGTCAGCCAAGGTCGGCCCTCTCGCTCCCGTATCCGCTGCTCCAGTAGCCTACGGTAAAACTCGGCTCCTTTCATTGTGCGGGTTTCCTCGTCCTCTGGATCAAGGTGGTCGAAATCGTGCAAGCCGTCCGCAGTGCGGGGAGCGAGTTCCAGGTGTACCAGACGTGGGAACGATTCAGTGAGATAACCACTTTTAGAATGGGGTACTTGATTGAAGATTCGACCATCGATGGAGGTTCGATATCTTAATCTGAAGTGCCACAAGCCTGCGTTGGATATACGGAGGGATTGAATGTTTCGTAGATACGCGTGATCGGAGACCCATCGAGCCTGGTAAAATTGAGGAATCTTGAAAGTTGTGAGGGCGAAGATCAGCAACCGGGTCTCCGCGTGGATCTGCCTCGAGGTCGCTGGTAGGCGGAGGGCAACATCTTTTGCGGGGGTGCCATCATCGTTCAACGGGATCCCATGGTGCTTGGAATGTGCTCCGCTCCTGCGAATGCGATATCTGATTTTTACATAGGCGCAACTCATGGAGTATTCCCAGATCTGGATTCGGAGTTCGGCTGGTAAGCGTAGTAGAGGTGAAACGGATGCGTTGCGTTGTGAGCTGTTCAGTTAGTAATGCCCAACTGCAGTGAGTTGATATCTTACATGGCTAGCTTGTCTTCCGGCACCGGCATCGGGACAGGCTCTCCATCGCCTTGATGCAAAGAAGACGATTGGTTCTCTGACTGCACGCGCATCTGGTTTTTGTTGGTCACGTGCATCGTCATTCCGTGGCTATGTGTTCGCGAGCGGTTAGGTAGCCTTCAGGAGTCGTTGTCGCGTAATGGGGAAGCTGCGATATTGCGAATTTGTAGATGTAGAGCTCTAGCAGGTGTTTGCCGTTGGTTTCTAGAGAGTTTTCGGTACATAAGCTGAGTGGTATAGGGAAATCGGCAAGCTTAAATCGTGTGCTAGCTCCAAAGGTGTACTTTGGTTGAGAGATCCGAGGTTTTGCCCGGAACCAACCGAAGCTGAGGCTTACAATCAAAACGCTTCGGGGTAGGTGTATATGTGTGATGCTCTAGGTCTCTTGTCCGGGAGTCGCCTCTTTGTCGTTCTCTTCCCTAGACTTCGCCTCTGTACTTCCCTCTTCCTCTGCATCCTCGTCACTCTTCTTCAAATAAACCACCATTCCGTTCAGCGCATTCCCATGCTTTTCAAACTCTCTTAGCGCCACCTTTCCCCTGCCTTTTATCCACTTCTTGCCCACCTCATTGCACTCCTCCAATCGCTCTTTCTTCTCCTTCGTTTGCGCATACACACTGTAGTCGTCCAGAATTTCGTTGCCAACATACAGCACCGGGTCTTTCGATTTGAGGAAAGTTGGTAGAAGAAGGAACCAATCCACGAAGGGCGAGTAAACGAAGGAGCAAGACGTAATGCGAGCCTGAAGATCGGAGTCAAGGACCGTGATAGAGAGGTGCGATAGAAATTCGATGTCGAGGGTTGTGAATGCTGGGTCTTGGGCGAAACATTGTATCTTAACGTCCTTGTTTTCGTCTTTGACTATCTTATAATCAGTTCGGGTACGTGCAACAGATAGAGACGATGACATACGTCGCCCGAATATATCAACAAACAGTACAAGCTGCCAGAGACTCCTCCACCGATGCGCCCAGTCTCGACTGAAACTGCCGATGCCAATGCATACCGCTTCTTCGACACCCCATTTGCCATGGGCGCTCCTCTTCTCCACAATCTCTTTGACTTGCTTCGCAAGCAGCGTATCTTCCCACCGCTCTTGAAGCAGGCGGAAATCGTCCAATAATTTTTCTGCCGTCAAACCCTCTACTATCCTCGTAGGCAAGGACCCAGCATCTGCCTCCTTCTTCCCTTTCCCATCAAGCGAAATACTCGCCAAGCCATGGGTAATGACAGTCCACCCATCCTCACTCTGCACCTCCTTCCTCTTAACGCGGCCTCTTCCCTTCTTACTCATATCTCCCCAATACACACCTTTCTTTACTCGGTCTTGGCGAAAAGAAATTCAAGCGCATACTCCCTCCACCTCAAGCGCGACGAAACCCCACAATGACGCACACTGCACAAAAAAGGTACACCGATCGTCGCGTCGTCGACTTAAGGTGCGGCTTGCATGGGCGCGTAAGTAAGGCGTGGCCAAAGTATCGAGGGCGAGGCGATGACGGGAAGGGACCACCTGGGCGCGTAGAAAATCATCGTGAGAGGCCAGGGTCTGGTTGGGTTTTAGTGGGGAAAGGGAGGCTCGGAACGGGATTTCCGAGGCGGAATGGCGGCGACCTTGGCTGTGGCCCGCAAACTACGGTAAAGATCGTTTGGGAACTGTGCCTCTCTTGATTAGGGGTCTGCTATCTGACTTGTACGTAGTTCAAGCCATCGGTCCACGTTAGGGTTGCGCATGCGAATCAGGCCTCCTGCTGACGGCTTATATACACAGGCTATTCTTTGTTGCAGTCGGTATAAGCATGACAGCATATAGCTTACAAGTGAGCGACTAGTGGAAATGCAAGTGTTGCGATTATGGATGGGATTGCATGTGTAGCTTCTGTACATCATACCGCACAGTAAAGTGTTATGTGCCCCTAAGAAAGACCGTCATAGCTGCTGAACAGCTGGTCCACCAACCACCCAGATCAAACCACCGCGTACGCTCCAAATCGAGATCGTCGCTTCAAAAGAGACCGGATATCTTTCGCGCCAAAACTCCTTGCCCAGAAAAAGACTATATTCGCAGATAAAAGTCAGGTTCGTACACTAGACAACCCATGTAATCCACGACGCTGCTGCAAGCATTGCCGGCACTATGATTGATGCATAGGTGTTGACGACCATGTTGTGTGGCGCTGGCGATGATGTTGTCGAGTATACGATTTGGAAGCCAATGTGGTCGTCGACGTTTGTTGTGTTAACGCAGTTTGAGCTGTTGACTTCGGGAACATCCTCTGGTTCGGCGAAAGTGATGTCGGCACACTATTGGAATCTATTAGCAACTATGCGGCTGTCATGTTCAGGCGCTTGCACTCACGTTGTAAAGAGCAGCGCCGTGTTGCGCAAGCTCAATAATCTGGATAGTCGCATTGTCTCCAACCTGGGGTGTATAGTTGGCAGGTAATGGAACTTGCGGTAGACAGAAAGAACCGGGGTATTCCTGGTTTGTAGGTCCTGTGATCTGGAAGACTGGCACCATGGTGTGCGAGTAATTCAGCGGTTCGTTGCCGTAACCCATGTTGACGTAGAACATGGCGAGCGAGTGGCCTGGGAACCATCCGGGTTGGATTGCGACGGCGCCGCCGTTGACCGGCCACTTTGTACGATTTTGCGACATTGGCATGCCACCACCTAGAAGTTCATGTTAGTTATCTTCTCCTGCGCGGAATACCCAATCGGGAAAACGTACATGGGTACATCCATTGCATGCCGTATGGAAATCCATATGTGCCGGTGTCTTCGTGGTAGTTGATACCAATCGAGCCATCAGGGATCGATGGGTCTGTGTCAGACTTGGTTCCGTTCGTGTGGATGTTGTTTCCTCTCCATCCTGGGTAGACGATAACGGTATGTGCAGTAGCGAGCGACCAGGTAGCGGCGATGAAAACGAGCTCGGTAAAACGAAACATTTTGGCGGTGCGATGTGGAAAGCAAAGACTGTTGCGTAGCGGAAGTCCTTGTCTTAACGATTCAGTGACCCGTCAGCTTGGGGTACACGATTTGATGGTAGTCGACGCAGAACGGGCAGCGTGCGGTGGCGGGGGGCATCAGCACTTATGGATTACGGGACTTGGCCTCGAGGGCCTCGTGCAACCATGGCATTGCTCGCCAAAGAGACGCTTCAGGCGAATGAACAGAGCAAAACGGGCCCGCCAGCATGGCCAGCCTTTGCATGTCAGCCCTCGAAGCATTGAGTAGGCAGCGAATAGGCACGTCGCTAGCATATTGAATCTACAGGGGCCAGCGACCACTGAGCTTCGCGTATGCAGGTCTTGTCGGGCGGGAGGGAAAGCCTCTGTCGGCGGAGCGAATAGCGTCCGAGGTGGCCATGCGCATGGCGCCTCTGATTTGCAGAGGCGTGTGATGACTTTGCAGAGTCTCGGCAGTCCGGCCAGGCACCTCTAAGCGCCCAACTACTCCAGAGTCCACATGCCCACCAGCAGACAGCGAGGAAGGTTTCCGGATCTGAAAATGCCCTCATCCGCGCGACTCGGCCGTGATAGTGTGACCAAGGCGTGATGCAGAATCTTGAAACGCCGCAGCTACACCGCGTAGGCGACGTCTGTGTTCGTGGGAGAAGAATGCTGAAAGACGCAGACAATCGCGCGCACCGTCAGCTAGCCGCCACTGGCCCCCAACGAACGGCGATCAACGCCCTCGCCGCAATATAATCCCCAGCCGTCAACATGCGCATGTTTCTATCCTTATATCGCTGCATGAGGGCTGCAGTGCGACAGCTGGGGAAGGCCGAGTGTCGGCGATGCTGATTGGGAGCTTGTTTCGCCGCCCCTGGTCATTGGAAGTGTCCACTGCGCCGGGACGAACGAAGCCTCCATTCGCAATAACCAATTGCTTGAAAAGGCATTCCTTCTGGGCCCGCGTCGTGCCGAGTGCACCAGCACACCATCCGCGCAGTGCCATCTTTCCTGCGGTTCGCTGCTAGTGCCTGTCTGTACGGCGCGAGGTACCGCATTCGTACTCCCCTTGCTTGAGTCAAAGGAACATCTTTGCGCACTGGGGTTAGCAGCGAACAAGCATCGCTTTAGCCAAGCGCCATGAGATAGTCGATCGTGTTGGACGCAGGGTGCACGGGTTCGTTGATTCTGGCGTCCGGGATAACGTTTGCGTGAGGTACGACCGCTGTTGATGCCAGGTGTGGTGCCATGAGCGCCTTCCTTGAGCACGGAGAGACCATGGCCACCTTCCTGCGATGAGGCTTCCTGCCCCATCACTCAGATCGTGCCTTCCAACATCGCAGGGGTAAACAGTGTCCACTTTACAGGCCCTTTCTGGCTCTGCTTGTCACCAACCGTTCTGCATCGATATTCTTCGATGACCGCGGCGTTCATCGAACATTATTACTCAGTTCGATCTTAACTTCGGTCAACACCCGACACCCGAGCTACTGACATGTTGTCGCTCGTCCCAGCGCGGAAGAGAAAGGAAGCCCATAACGCGATACAACTATCTCGTGATAAAGGCAAGGTCCGCGTCATCGAGCGATCAGCAGAAGGGTACTCCAGCGGCTCCACGAAGAATCTACAGGGTCGCAACAGCACCCCTGCTAGCCGTACCTTTACTACACTTCGTCGCGGAAGCATCAGGATCTTCTCAATCTTCCGCAATGGCAAGAGTTGTTACCCTTTTCTGCCTGGTACCTCTTAGCTTCTACTCACAGTACTAACAGGTTCCGCTCCAAGCTCCGGCGAGGCTACCTTTGGTAGCACTGGGTCAACGGTCAACAAACCAGCAGACGTACCACGTGCCGATAACATCAACTCCTACTCCAACTCTCCTTTACAATGCCCTGTCGTTCCCGATATACCTATGATTCTACCAGCTCTCTCCCTAGATCCTGACTCTTCATCTTTACTCCAACTCACAAACGCTGCCGTCTTCGATGGCGAATCAGAACCTATACCAAGAACTCGCACTCCACCTCCTACACCCATGGCAACAAGCTGGTCGACGCCAAGTCTCTCGCAGCAACTCACGACCAAGCTCTCCAACGCCCTGATGAACAATGATACGGTAGTGCGTCGACGGAAGCTAAGCTCTAGGCCAGTCGTTCGAACGGACCATTTCAAGCATCCAAGCGATGACCAGCGAACTACCACCTCACCCAAGAGCCCCATGTCAGAGGTCCCTTCTCTTCCATCAAGCGTCCTAAGCCCCTCGAGCAGCGTCGCACCCTTGAGCCAGTCCACTGCACCGACATCGCTGGTCTCATCAGGTGCACTACTGTCTGCTGAGACCACTTATCGAACCCAGAACGGTCGCCATGTAACCGACAATCAACCCGCGCTCTATTGCGAGGCGACCCCAGAGCGTTTACCTTCACGATTCCTTGTCTTCCCACGTCAAGACGCACCACGACTGTGTGAGCCTTCCATTGCGACTATCGAGAATGCAGCGGCGGCAAAGATCTTCTTCGAGTCACACTTCAACCAGCTTCTCGGTACCAAGATCACGCCACGATCTATGCGTCGCCGCCAAATGGAGCGGAAGGTATTTACCATGGCCATCCCGAATGAGCAACGTCACTCCAAAAGGCGAGAATAGTATCTTGCAGAGACACATCATCTGCGTCAAACCCGTGTCATGAAGTCGAATACCCTAGCGCGTCAGACAATGAAAGGAGTGCACATTTCCAATTACGACATCGTAAGAGTCCTCGGGAAAGGTAGCTTTGGTGTTGTTCGTCTCGTTCGCGAGAAGAGCGACAATTGCGGAAGTCTACGGGGAAGCAGCTGCAGTATGGGATATCTCGATGGCTCATTGACGCCAAAAACTGATAGGCCTTCCCCGACAATCCGCAGACAAAAGCAAGTCTTCGCCATGAAGGTCATCAGAAAGTCGGATATGCTTCGCAATAGCCAAGAGGGACATTTGCGAGCAGAGAGAGACTTTCTAGTCGCGTCGGAGAATGCGCGATGGGTAGTTCCCCTCATCTCTGCTTTCCAGGACAACAACAACCTCTATCTCGTCATGGAATACATGATGGGCGGCGACTTCCTAGGCTTACTCCTTCGCGAAGACATCCTCGATGAGAACGTTGCAAAATGGTATCTTGCGGAGATGATATTGTGCATCGAGGAGGCACACAAGATGAACTGGATCCATCGCGATGTCAAGCCCGACAACTTCCTCATCACTTCGTCTGGTCATCTCAAGATCTCGGACTTTGGCCTAGCCTTTGATGGGCACTGGGCTCACAACCAGACGTACTACAATGAGCAACGATACGGTCTACTCCGCGACTTGGATCTACATGTCAAAGGCGACGCACAAGACGTTGAAGAAGACAAGGATCGATCTGACGCTCGCAAGACCATGAATCTCGTCAATGGGAGCGCAGCGGCCCGCGGACGTTACCATACCAGACAAGACTCAACGCATGGACCTATCATCGACTGGTTGAACCGAGAGCAGAGGCGTGAATTCGCCAAGAGTGTTGTTGGGACGAGCCAATATATGGCACCAGAGGTCATACGAGGCGAAAGCTACGACGGTCGCTGTGACTGGTGGAGCATTGGTATTATATTATACGAGGTATGTGGCCATGAATGGTTGTACGCGTTTTCACTGACGATCTCGTAGTGCCTATACGGTTGCACGCCCTTCTTCTGCGACAACCGTCAAGCTACAAAGATGCGCATACTCGTAGGTTTGGCTATGACACGCCGCGTTCTGGTGCTAACTCGCGCAGGATCATAGGAGGTGGCTGCGATTCCCATCTGACCAGCGTTATGCTCGTCCCAACATCGACCGCGTACCACTCATGCCAGTCTCACGCAACGCAATCGACCTCATGATGCGACTGCTCGAGGACAGACAAGACCGACTCTCAGCTAAGCGATACCGTGAGAACGACTGGGCCCTCCGCGACAAAGCTGTTGGTGCGCGCCGCAATCGTAACGTCAACACCACCGGTCACATTGTTTACCCCAACGATGCCGAAGACATCAAGTCGCACCCGTTCTTCCGCAACATTCAGTGGTCACAACTGCATCTGACTCGTCCACCATTCGTACCACGCGTTCACGGCGGTCAGCCAATCACCAAATACTTCGACGATGAGGCCGAGATCATGAGTGCGTCTGATCATCTCGACTCTTCGAGCTACGAAGCTCTCGGAGGGCAGGCAGACCCTGCAGTAGAAGGACAAGTTGGTGGGAATGATGCTATATCCCCGGTCCAGCCGACTGCCCAGCATGATGGTGCAGCTACGCCCGCTCAAGAAGGGTTCGCTAAGTCATTGCGGGACATGAAGAGACGCAAAAGGGAAAAGAAACGACCGCGCGACAAGCTTCTTCGAGATCCAGATGTCAGCCAAACTGTTCTGGAGATCAGGAAGAAAGGTGCTTTCGTGGGTTACACTTATCGCAGGCCTAGATTCTCGTTGTTAGACTTGGAGGACAAGATCGCTGCGAGACCTCACATCACACGCGGTGGGATAGTTGCTGCGAGTGCTTAGTGCTGTAGGTTCTTTGTGCTCTCTGCGGAGTGTAGGGTTTCTTCGGAATGGATTGTTGAGTTCTTGAGCCCATCGGGATGCGCATGGTCCTGTAATTGCTGTTCGATTATCACTAGAAGATGTAATCTCTCTCACCTCGACCGCCATCTCAGTCTCCCACCTCAGCGGTCAGCATCGCATTGCAGATACTACTAGCGCCGTCTTGAGTATATGTGAGATCTATATCATGCCCGTCTTTCTCAGTAACAAACCTTCCTACACCACACTTTCCGTCTCGACCTCGTCACACAAGGCTTACAATCAAGTAAAAGCGATACATCCCCTCAACATGATGCTCTCCAAAGCCATTCTGCTATGCTTTACCGTACTCACTAGCATCACCGTCGGTACTGCCCCCGCAAGAGACCCCAACGACACGATGCCAGTTTTTCTCAACCACAAAGGCAAGCCCATACCCGTCGACAAGCCCACTCTCAACCCTCCGGTCTTGGACATAAGCGAGTACCTGGTCAAACAGCTCAAGCACCAGACAGTAAACGAGCTCAAGATGTGGAACGACAGCAAGATCAACTACGCGTGCAAGAAGATCTTCGCTAAAGAAGGCTACAAAGTCGAAGACATTGAGATGTTCGAGGTTGAGTACGAAGATGTGAGTTTGAACTTATGTCTGCTGTTGTTAAATGACGGCGTGCTAATCAGTCGGTAGTGCTATGAGAAACCATGGGTCATGTGTCGCCACAAAGACGCTTGGTACCAGCCCGACCTCATGAACTTCTACATCGGCCTGATTCCCGTCAACATGCGTAGATTCAACCGCCACTTCATCGCGCTGCCAGCCGACGACAAAGGTGGTCGAGATACGTACAACGACTACGACACCATTGTCTGGAAAGGGCAAGCCAGCCTACACAATATCATCGCCGAGTCCGCAAGGTCAATGGGCCAGTACGTAGGCGGAGGTTTTGGAATCTGGAGTAAGTTACCTCGCACTCACCATCAACCCTCTTTTTGCCGCTGCTAACCACGTCTCACTCCCTCTAGGTTCCGGTACTCTCATGTGGTCCGATCAGACGTGGTCCGACCTCGTCGAAAATAACGCCACAGCGGTGATGAACCCTACGTCTCAGATTTCCCTCGAAGAGGCATTTGCTCAGACTATGGTGTTTGCCCTCGCGGAGTTTTCGGGCATACCTTTGGCTTCTTTCATCCCCGAGTATGAGAAGATTCGGCAGGTGGTATTCACTTTGTGGGAGAGCTTCATGTGGGTCTTGACTGCCAATGACCAAGTATTTTGTCAGGAGAGGATTTTGGAGGATAGTCCGGCGGGTTTGCCGGGGCAGCTACCGGATATTGAGGTCTAGATTGGCATGTCTGATGGATCTGGCGGTAGCTAGGGAATGGTTGAGTCGGCTTCACATATGGGTCAAGTCAAGGGTCGGCTTGGAAGCAAATCGGGTTCTTCGTGTCTTTGGTGAAGGCATGAACATCTATCCAAATACACCCAATCAAAATTAAAAACTATCCCGTCTCCCTCTCTTCCACCACCTCCTCTCACCCGTCCCACCAGCCCCACGTCCGGAATTCCTCCACATATTCTTCAGATGCCGGCCGTATATCGCATACAACACACTGGCTATAACACAAATCGCAATCACGCCCGTAGAAACACCCAGGCCGATTGATGCTGGTACGCTAAGACCGCGATCGGGCTCTGCTGTAATTGAAGGTAGTGCGGTGGGTGAAGAGGGAGTTGCATCAGACGAAGACGAAAAGAGAGTTGTCTGTAGACTGGAAGATGGGTCTGGAGGGGGCGTTGTAACAGTAGAGGTAGTGGGAATCACTGAAGATGACTTGTCATCTCCAGCCTCAGTAGTTGATGTTGTCGTTCCCGCGTGAATCGTCGAGGGTACTATAGTGGCAGGATCCGGTCTCGTGACTATGGGAAAAGTCTCCAGATCAGTTGGGGTAGTGGGTGTCGCGTTCACGGTAGTCACAATAGTAGGTGCGTCCATGGTAGTCACGATAGTAGTTGCGGGACCCATCGATATGATTATCGGGGGGTCGCCACCAGTTTTCGTGGATGCCGACATTGTCGCCGGGATAGCTTGTCAGTGTCGTGATGAGCCTAGATAGTCGAGGGGCTATGTGAGAGGGTATGATGGGGGTGAAGTGCGGTGACATGGTGGAGGATTGCGGGAGAGTAGCAGCGACAGAGTACCTAGGTAGTTAGGTGCTTGCTTGGGAAACGGGATGCGACATATCGTTTGCTTGGTGGTGTGACGGATGAGTGTGCTGGCGTGGAGTTGTTGGGATCGCGTGGTGGCGGGTTGTTTGCTTGATCGATATAGGACTGGAATTCTTCTATGGATCAAAGAACGAGAAAGATTCCTGGAGTTCATGAAGCATCATAGGTATGTATATCTTGATGGGAGCTGAATGTATCGCGAAGTTTACCTAGATAAGAGCCATGGACACATGGGTGGCAGCTGATATGTGTAATTACCCCCTTGCGCATTTGTAAAATCTAAAATCTCACATCGTTCACAACCCGCACATCAGCTAATTGGTCGTAGTAGTTCTTCTGTTTGCATCGGCATGTTGTTGCGCAGGCAGTGTAGCGAGCTCGGTATTGAAGTTCCGACGAACACCGAACTCGGACGTCACCCTACAATATCCGGACTCACTCAACGACCGTTTGTTTCAAGACTTTCCTTTTGCATATACCCCACAGCTGCAATAACGGAACTACATCATGTCAGCCTCGGACGACCTCACGGACCTTGCGACCCCGCCAGCGTGCATTGCAGACTTTTGTCTGATCCCCCTGGGCACCCCCACAGCATCGGTATCCAAGGAAGTCGCGGAAGTGCAGCGGCTCCTCAAGAAAAGCGGCTTGGATTATTCGATGCATTCCGCGGGGACAACAGTTGGTATGTGCCTGCACACACCCCACCTTCTGAATTCTGTACGCTCTCGCGTGCGAGCCAACCCTCTTCTCGGCCGGTATGCGGGCCTGGTGGCTTGGAAGGTGGAGGGGTATATGGAACATTCTTGAATGTGCATGCTAATTATGGTTAGAGGGCTCGTGGGACGACGTTATGCGGGTCATAGGGCAATGCCATGCGATGCTGCATCAGAATGGGATTGTGAGGATTCAGAGCGATATTCGTGTGGGGAGCAGGACCGACAAGAAGCAAGGATTCAAGGACAAGGTGGACGCTGTGGAGAAGCTGCTCAAGGAGGATCAAGGCGCAGCGTTGTAATGGGCCGAGTATCAGGATGCGCGTGACTGAAGGAATGTGTGTGTTGTCTCAGTTCCAAGGTCGCCAGGTCATCCACGTGTACCAACCACCTGCGATAACGACGGATGCATGAAAACAAATTTCACGACTACAGATGATGTACCCGCGCACGGCGGATCTGCCTGCCAAAGCTCGGATGGTGATTCAAACAATCGGCCGCTGCTATTATTGGGCAATTTCCTACTCGACGGCGTGGAGCTGCTGGGGTAGCTGGGCTATAGCGAAGATGGGGAAATTAGTACCTGACAGGCCAAACGGCAGCGATGGAAGCATATTGTGTTGACATGTGGCTAGACGTAGGGCTTTTTGAAACTTGTCGATCAAGGTGGCAGTGGTGGCAGCGAATCACTCGCAGCGGGATGCTATTCTGTAACGTAGACGTGCATACAACGGCTCCAGGCTCTTCACCGCCAGTCGCGATGTTCAGGTAGACTAAACCGGATGCGAGGGGCGGGTGCTGTCTGCGCACGGCCGACGAGCGGTTGTGTAAAAAGTTGGCGGCATCATCCTTGACGTCGGTACCTTTCACCCGGAAAATCCCCTCGAGTGCCGCATGTGCTCCCACGCTCTCTCCACCACGACACGCCCATCTATACCTGCCCACACCGCCCGCAATATTCACTGCCCGCCCGTCACCCCGCCCGTCCCGTCCGAAACACGCCCACCCCCCAAAATTGGCCTCGTGTGATCGCATGGCGAATGCACGCGACAGCAGCATCATCTGCCAATCCCCAGCACCCGCGCGGTAACCACGTCGACGCTCCACGCATCAACCACCCACCATGGCCTTCAACTTCAACTGGTCGCCGCTGATAGCCGACACGTCGAGGGCGCGCGACATGCTGACGACGGCCCTCAACAAGTCGCCCAAGCCGCCGATTATCGTCGACGACATCATCGTCACCGAGCTCAATCTCGGCACCACCCCGCCCGAGCTCGAGATACTGGAGATTGGAGACTTGGCTGAGGACCGGTTCAGGGGCATCTTCAAGATGTCGTATGCGGGCGACGCGTTTCTGACGCTCAAAACAAAGGTCCAGGCAAATCCGCTCAAGACGTATCTCTCCAACAAGCCAGACTTTGCGTCACCGCAGCCGCTGGCAGCGTCATCGGGCTTGACTATACCGTTGCAAATTACACTGTCCAACATCCGACTGTCTGGTTTCGTCATCTTGGTCTTCTCCAAACAAAAGGGCTTGACGCTGGTCTTCAGGAACGACCCTCTGGACTCGCTCAAGGTCTCGTCGACGTTTGACTCCATCCCCTTTGTGCGCGACTACCTGCAAAAGGAGATTGAGGGCCAATTGCGTGTCTTGTTCATGGAAGATTTGCCAGCTATCATTCACAGGTTGTCACTCCGCATGCTGTCGCCCGAGTACCAGGAAATCGAAACAGAAGAGCGGCTAGAGAGCGCCAACGATACCACCGCAGCCATCGATCCCCTCGCATCGCCACCACAAGACGCTGTCGATGCGTTCGGCAACCCACTAGACGAGGCCCAGATCTCGGCCTTGTCGCTCGACTCTGGCGAGATACACGCCTCTTTCTCCCAGAAGAACATCCTTCGCCTAGCCGCCCTCTCCGAATCGCAACGAACCCTTTCCCTCTTCACACCTGGCATTCGCGATGCCGTCTTCCGAGCGTGGGCAGGTCACCCAGACAGGCCCGAGTCTGGTGCTGCGACACCCGCACTCACACAAGGCAGTTTGTCAAGGATACAGTCGACGTTTGGCAGTCTCAAGTCTGGCGCTTCGTCAGTCGCGTCTGGCAGCACAGGCAACGAGACGCTGAGCTCCCGACCCACCATGGCGTCGGCATACTCGACATCGGCGGGGCTCAGTCTTGGCTCAAGTCGCTCTCGCACTGGCGGCATGCGGAAACGGAAGAAGCGTGTTGTTGATCTACGTAAAAAGGACGGCGTCGACTCTGGCGTCTCAACAGGCGCCAACACGCCTTTGCCCAGCGCATACGCCTCCGAGACATCGAGCGTCATACCAGAGGAAAGAGAGGCAGAGGAAGAACTCGCTACCCCACCAACGAGCCCCGCACAACCTGGCATGCGCTTTGAGAGTAGACGTGGCAGTCTGGACATTGGTACGCCAAAACGAATACCCGAAGAACCTCCTGCTTTTGGCCCTCTTCTCGCCCCTGCGCCAGTCCTCTCAGAGTCATCGAAGCATGGCAAATCGAAGCAAAAGACCCCACCAGCCGCTCACCTCGAAGACCCATTCATATCCCACACCTCTTCCAGACGTCCGCCGCTGTCGCGCAACAAGCTACGCCAAGCACAGCAATCCACCTCGCCGCTCCTCCGCTCCCTGTCTTTTGACAAAGTTTCATCGCTCTCAGCCCTCTGCTCGCCACCGCGTACTTCTTCCCCACCGAACGCTGACGTCATGGCCAGCTCCGGCGGCATCCTCGAACAAGCATGGATGACGAAGATGGCGCAGGAGATTGCTCGCAAGGTCCAAGAAGAAAAGGACCGATCGTCTCGGCGACCATCACATACCCGGACGAAGACAGCACCCACAGGAGGCTTTTGGCAGAGCGACGATGAGATCGAGGCACCGCCCGCTTACGTTGCGTAAGCAATGATGAAGTTATGAGCCATGAAGATTTTCACGACGTACCGTCTTCGTACATATTAGTTCTTGCATGTTATTTTTGTCCATCACTTGTTGTTTCTTTTGTCTATTCAACTGCTTGTTAGCATTGGCGTATCAGGATTGGGAAAAGCTCGTTGCCGTTGGATCAACTTGAGTATATAACTTAGGGGGTTAGTGGGGCTCTAAACATAATGAGCGGTGCATAGAAGAGCGTGGAGACGAAGAGGGCAAGCGCGATATAGTATCGTCGCTTTTACATATCAGACTACTAATCTCATTACCGAAGGCGATGTGAGCGTCGCTAAGAAGAGTATATATCAAATCACTCTCATCTTCACAAAGGCATATTCGGTGTACTTGACATCTTTTCCATTATTCTATTTCACAATCTTCAAGGACCTGGCACAGGAATAGCACCAATCTGCACCATCAATCCAAAGATATCAGGCTGAC